AATATCTATCATAAGTTTATGGTTTTATATCCTGTATACAAGATGTTTTTTTTTTGATATTCAATAACTCTAGGGTATGATTGAAACCATCCTTAACTGGCATATTAATTATTTTTCAATTATAATTTTTTTTGTCTTCATTTTTCATTCGACAAAGTCACGATATTAATATAAAACACCCTTATGTGAAATATGACAACGTCACATTTTGTTAGCTTTAATTATGAATGATTGGTTTGAATAAAAAGCGCGTAGAGTATGTTGTGCTCTCGTAACTTTTTAATGACATCGATATCGATTAAACCCTGACTTAGTCTTTTAACTTATTAAACACTTACTTTGATTTAACGGACATAATTATTATATGAAGATTACATACGATTTTCTAGTCAAGTAAAAGTGGGTTAATTTTCAAAGTATTTTGGACCACCTATTCTTGGAGTTTTAGTACTTTTAGAATATAACCCTAGAGTTATGGGCTATAAAAAAAAACAAGTTGTATAATAATCTAGGCCCTTATATTTAGAGATTTTGAAAATTGCTTATCGCTATTTCCCGGATTTATTATGCGATATTTTGACATTTTCCTTGGTCAACGTTTAAAACACCCACTGTTGTCACTATTCTTGTATCATACAGTCAGTTACATACAGTTGGGGAATGCCCACCGTTCATAGACACTTCGGCCATAGGTGCCCACATATAAAAGCATGTGGAAATGATAATATGCAATTAAAATAATGAAATGGTTTAGGAATTGGTTTAAAAAAAGTCCGGATTTTTAAGATATAAAGGTTTTTTATTTTCACAAGAACAGTTTTTAACAACAAATGACTTCGTATTTTCGTGACATTTAAACCACAATTGACACAGCGTTAATGTGTTCTTGAGTGAGTTACTGAGAGCTAGGAAGAACTCTGGGTGACGGAAAGCTGGGGTCATCGTTAACAGTGGATATCGAGTCCAAGTTTGTGCAGAGGTTATCGTAAGAAGTGGGAGCGGGATCCATTTTCAGGCCGTGGTCAATATGGCGAGAAGAATTATCGGAATCCATTTAGAAAGCTTATTCGTTACTTAGACAACAAATCCGCGAGAAAACAAACAAAATAACACAAATGCAAAGTCATTCGACTTGTGACTATTTAGTTTTGATAATTATGAAATGGGCCTAGCTGTCAGATTCGATGTTGCCAATTAACAGACATAAAATCGATAAATAGATAGTGATTTTTTTAATCGATTTATAATTTCATAAAAAGAATAATCTTTGATTCGCTTTAAGTTCTGCACACCTTTTAAAATATGTTTTGATTTATTTATTTAAATTCCATTTTAAATATATTTTTAAGAACAGATAAAAATATCAGTTAAATTGTGCAGTAGCGTTTTTGTTATGTTCCAAAGAATTCATGGTAAATCAACTAGCAATTCGCTTGTTTAATTATCATAACATCATAATAATTATCGAAAATAATATTACCATTATAATAATGACAACATAAAAATCGATTGAAAAAACAGAATCGACTTTTTTTTTTACGAGATTTGTGATTGGCCACACTTTTTATTTTACCCACAAACTAATGACTTGCGGATTTACCTAATTTCATTTTTATCTTTTCGGTACTTTTTTTTGTGGAAAAATATTGCAATCTTTTTTGGATACATAAATACTGCGATTAATTACCATAAAAAAGATGTATTTTTTTTAACAAATGCAAATTGTTGGGCGTTTCATGGCCAGAATTGGGCATTCCCCTTTCAATGAACAACAGCTTACGTCAAGTAAACATATCGAAAATTTATTTTATGAAATTGAAATTAAGGGTGACCTGTAAATACTACACGGGTTCAATAATGATCAATACTTTTGTGGCGGAGCTGTCGTCCGAACCGAATCACGCTATCGAAGTACTACTAAGTATACTTATACGGAATAGTTCCATACTACCACACGTAGCTTTGCATGGTCGCTTCGCGGGTTAAACACCTCCCCGGCGGCAGATTTCGCCCTTTTCCTCCACGGTCAAACTTGTTTTGGTGGTTAGATGACACGGGTAACTTATCGTCATTTCTTCTTGCTTGCTTATTGTTAACTCAGTACTCAGGCGCAGTTTACATCGTCGGCTCATTGCGTTACCTCAAAATTGCTAAATTTATATATTATTTAAAATTCGTAATTGAGTTCGAATAAGGTCCCCAAAATTAGGTACTAAATAAATGAAACAAAATATTGAGGTTTATCGTTTTTATTGTTTTCTTAAATACCTTTGCAAGGCAATTAAGTGATGAACAATACAGAACGGACACTACATTCTTTATGTATGTAGCTGCAGGAATTTATTTTTATTATTAAATCGTGTTACAATAAGTTATGTTAACTGCAAAATCGAGGACGGAAAAATGTCCTTTTAACGTTCGTTAGGCAAAAGTGAAATGTTCAGAAAAATGTTCTTACACTTATAAATGTTAAGAAATTATTGAACTACTCGTAAAGTAGGAAAGTGGAAAAGCCTTTTGAATGATTATGATGTGGTGATGTCAGTTTAACTTCGAAGTAAGCATTTTTCAATACGAATACTTTCATAAATGATGGACAGCCGATAGTTAATACCGATAAATTGCTGTTTTCGTTTTCTATAAAACTATTAAAGTATTTGCGAAGTGACATTTTTGACAATGCTTTGTTCCATGGTAAAATATCGTCAGCAGACCATGTACTTTTAATAGGGTACTAAAATTATAGCAATATGTATCTATAATATGGTAAAATTGTCATTATCCTAACTTTCAGTTTCCAATTGTTTATTCTATTAAAATTAATAAAACATAAATAACAAAATGCTGACATTTTAACAAATAAATTTGGCAATGTTTTTAAGACATGAGGACAACACAATTTAAAAACAAGCATCATCTTGGAAGCTCTTTTGGTTGAGCAAATTTTGATTTTCAATTACCTGGCTAAATTTATAAAAGTTAACACAAAAAATATTTACGATTTGACTGAGCCATGTCTTATTTATAATATTAATATGAATCTATTACTTCAATTACCAACATTATTTAGCCGATAGTTAATGTAGGAAGATACCTACATTGCATTGTGAATAGCCAATACTACTCAAAAGCAGATAGCACGATACTTTATTATAATGGTGTAATGGATTTCCTATATATTAAAATATTTTCTGTTTGTTATATCGGCGGTAACCATTTGTTCATTTGTTTTTATTTTTAAAACGAAACGATTCGTTGGCACGTATTAGGTTTTAGCTTTATTATAGTCTCATGGCACAAGCATAGGTTATGTTACATCTTTTAGCTTTGCGCTATTATGAAATAAGTTTATAAAACAATTCTTAAAAAATAATTCCTAATATATATTAAAAATACAAAACGATGAAATAAACACCATAAGCCATCTTCTTCCCATGACTCGTAACATGTTTAGCAAACATTCCAATAATATCTACATACTTTGATATATAATTGTAAAATAGATTCCGATATTAAAATATCTACCTATCTAATTTTCGTATCAAATTTTATATGGTTTACAATATCCAACAATGGTTATACAAAACTGAGTATACAGAAAAGTTATATAAACTGAAAACTAGTTATGTACTTACCTATTTCTTCTTAAAGCTGATAAGTTTTATTCTTTGACTGAGATCATCTAATGGCCGATACACACGGTCAGTTAAAACTGATCAGTTGAACTGACGTACATCTAAAAGCTAACAGTGAGTGTAAAATCTTTTTAACTGACGGCAACCCACGGATTTTTCCGGACGCACGGTCTGTTAAACTGATGTACATTCAAAAACTGACCGTGAGTGTGTAATCTTAAGTTGAAATTAGAAGCCAGTGAATGGGAAAATCGTTTTGGCTTACATCCGTTTTAACTGATCAATTAAAACCGTGACCGTGTGTGTCGAGCGTAATAAAATCAAAGATATATATTATAGGGTCTTTCAGGAATTCGGAAACCATTCGATAAATTGCATATTAGTTTTCAGTTCGTATACATCTTTTCTTTCTTAAATAGCAAATCACATCATACATTATATTTTTCTACACCAATAAAATCAACGGTGTTTCTAATACGCATTTAGGACATCTCTTTTAGCACTAATAAAGTAAAAATGCGCTTTAAGGTACCTATATAAATATTTCCGCCCATTGTTTCACACCCAAAAGAAATAATAAGTATGTAATTTACGAAAAAATTAACATAATTCCCTTTTGCTTATTTTGTTGTATATTGCGTCTGATATAAATGGTGCCCGAGAAATGTATTTTTTATTTGAATTATTGTGCATTTCGTGTTCAGTGACGGTAACCATCTTCCTCATGTATTTTCTAAATGCGTTTACACTATACTTTTTTTTATCACACAAGATCATAACGGGTCCCAGTAATTTCATAAACCATGAGACAGACAAGTTTCCGCTCGTTCAACAAGTGTTGATAAAGCGTTTACCTAAATGACATAAAACTAACAATGTCAAGAAATATTCCAACGCTGCAATATTATCTCAATAGTTGAGCTATAAAATAATTTGGCTTCGATTGGTTTCTTGACATGTTAGTATCATTGAGATCAGTAACTATGCCGGTACAAGGACGCAGCGAACGGCCACAGCTCTCGCTCTCGAATCTGCTGAATTTAAACTAAAATGAAAAAAATCCGCAATTATTGCATTTTGAACAAGACGTAATATTATTTGTAGGACGTTTTATGAATTGAGGAAAGAAGATATAACTCTAAATTAAACTTCAGTATATTGGGGGGGGGGGGGGGGGGTATAATCAATAAAATATTTTAAAGTTTATATGGAATGACGCAGATATTTTATAGCGCAGATCGAGAACACTAGCCGAACCAACCTTAAGCTACTACTAAATCTCTAAACGATCAAAGATCGCAAGCTAAATTGATTTTTTTTTCAAAAGTCTTAAAAAAATAAAATCTGCTAGAGATCAACGTTGATTTAGCGGGGGTGCAAAACGGCTCGCACCGTCCGAAAACGTTTCTCGAAGCCCAGCTTGGAGTAGAGAGAGCGGGACGCGTCATTTTCGGGACGAATCACAACGAAGGGCTTATAGCCGCGGGCGGCGACTTCCTTGGTCAGACGCCTGGCTAAATATATCCCGTAACCTTTCCTTCGGAATTCTGGTCTTGTTTGCATGGAGAACATAGCTCCGTAGTAGGACTGAACCATCCAAGCGGCCAGTTTCCCTTCCACAAAGATGCCGTATGCAGGTAGTTCTGCGACCAGTTTCTCGAAGACCTCACGACATTCGATATCACTTGCCGGATACAAGTCGTGAACCGCTTTCATGTGCTCCGGCTGCAGGCGAACTAGCTCCACGTCCGGTGGTAGACTGTGAATAAAACAAAGAATTAAAACTTTTTTTGCGTAATAAATTTATAATATTACAGAGATTGAATCGCATTACCTACAAAGACATTGAATTTTATTCCTCAGAGTTATATTGCGGACTCTAGAAATCACTCACTATCGGAAGCCATTAAAGGTTGTTTGATTTATTAATATAATTCACTATACCTACTACACTATCAAAAAAGGTATTTAAAAAAATCCATCATCAATATTTATTTTAATAACAATTTAAAAGCCCTCATTTGGTGCAATACACAACACCAGCGTTTTCCTTAGTGTCTGAAATTATTTTATAGATGCGTTTGGTATAGTTTTTAGCTTTCCCGAATTAAGCGATCAATTTGTTTGTTCGGGTGGAATCTTGCAACTCAATTTTGAAGCAGATATCATCAATCGATTGACCTGAAATTTTGTATACACGTTAAGTTTGGACGACAATGCATGGTTAGCTGTGTGACGTCATTCTAAATCCAATATGGCGGAACACCCAAGATGGCGGACTAGTTATTTTTAATGCTATTCTACAATATCAATTGAAAGGGCTTGCTTAGTGTAACTCGAAAAATAAAGTGACGTCACTCTAAATCTAAGATGGCGTACTAAGTTTTTTATACTTTCCTACAATATGGGTGTCAAATGAAAGGGCTTGCTTAGTATAACTCGAAAAATAAAGTGACGTCAGTCTAAATCCAATATGATGTTATAAGTTGATAGTAAAAGTTTTAAAAGAAAAAATTTATTTTATTCTTTTAGCGCATTTAAATAAAAGCTTGTTTTAAAAAAAGTTTTTTTTTTTTACTTTTAATTTATTTTGTACTCGGTTAATTTGTAACGAATTCTATTTTAATTTTGATAAAAAACACAACGTTTTGTAATACTAAAAAGCGTGGCAACTTCAGGTGTTGGTTGGCAACCGCAGTTTTTTATTATTTTCTGTTGTTATGAGGAAGATGCTTTCATGTATATTCCATTTCCTTCTGTTGCCTTTTAAGCTAGCCACGGAACGATATGAGGTAGTGAATGCCCTTACGCTTTATTTTTATATCGTTTGTATCTTTTATAAAACTTACTCGTCAGCGCTGGTGTCTTCCGGCGGGTTGTCGCATACGTATACATCGCCAGCGATTTTGTCTTGAGCCTCATAGTACTTCTCGAATCGGTTCACGATCGCTTCATGTGTAAAGTTCAAGTACAGCGGCTGGCTCAGGTCCAGTAGAATATCTTCAGTTGTCAACAGATCGACAAGTTCTACTCGGTCCGATGGACAAAACACTGTCACGCTCTCATAAGTGAGATTGTTGGGCTGAAAAATAGTTAACATATAAATTTTTGTATATGTAAATTTTCCAATCAAGTTTTAGTACAGCGTACTCAAGGATAGATATAATAGTTTCTATAATGTCGTTGTCTGTCTGTCTGCCTGTCATAACATGCAGTTGTTCAGAAACAAATACTGCAATTTTACGCTGGTATTCTGTGAGAGAGTGGGTCCTTCCTCGGTATCTTATAATATTTTCTATGGTTTTGGATAGATTTTCCGCTATTAATCGGATGTTACAGTCACGTTCTTAATCAATATACTGCACGCTGTTGGCAACCAACATCGGCCGCCCCTCTTCGTGCACAACGGAAGAGAAGTGGAAAGGGAAATGTGAAGTGGAAAGGGAAATGTATAAATTAGGGTGCATCATGATTCTTGGACATTCCGTTTGATAACACGCGTCGAATTAGTCAAAGTGTAATTAAGTGTCGTGATTACAAAATCTGTAATATTGAGTGCTTTGTACAAATATTAATTGAATACATATATTGTGTTATAAGTGCATATTTCTTTATAATAAATTATTTCATTGTGTTAACATCAGAAGTGGGATACAATCCCTGTTATCGTCCACATAAATAATCTTCGAATAGTGTGATAGTTATTAACTTTGTGAAAGACTTCGCGTTGATGTCTTTGTTTTTATTAAATGTCAGAGATGAAATTTGCTGTACTATTTACGGCATTGACATACAATTAAAGTGTAGAGTAAAAGTTTAAAGAGAAATGTTTTAAGCCAAAAGATAAATCTTTTTGTTCAATTAACATTCAATTGATAATAAGGTACCCGCAAGTTCGCAATTATCCCTTTACGTAAAAATGTCAAAAGAAATGTTGGAGGTATTTTAAGATGAGTTATAGTTTTGCATTCAGTGGAAATTTAACATGCTCGAGTTATAATTGGATATATGGTGTAATTTACATGGACTAATTTTAAAGTTCAACATGTTTAACGATAAACAAAAAAAAATGCTTAACTTTAACGTGCGATGAATTAAAAACACCAAGTAGTATTGTATTCTAATGTGTTGACAAGTGTTACAGTTTAATCCAAGTGTTGTGTTCGACAAAATTGGGATCTAATGTTGAGGGTATAGTGGAAGGCGTGGTGCTGTGGCGCCCGCTCTTGAGTGGAAGTATGCTGTGGGGGGCTTATGACGCCACAGGCACATTATTTGCCGCTGCTAGCGATCACCATTTGATACACGAGGAAAGCAAATTTATCCTAAACATTGTCTTAAAAATATTTTGTAAGAATGAGTGCTTAACTTTTTAATTAGTTGCGGAAAAACAAAGTATAACTGACGAAATCGAAGTAAATAAAAATTAGTTGACATTGAAGAGATAATTTAACGATACATGAGGATCGCACCATACCAGAGATTGTCGTGTAGCCGCAGCTCAGTATATGGTGTCCTAGAAAAGCGAATGGTGTCCCAAGAGCACTTCTTGAAATCAAGTTCCGACGGAGACTTTTTAATGTTTTCTTTTATGTGTTACAGTAGCACGTGTGATGTGATTACATGTACGCGAGTGTAAGGCGAGTGTGTGCCTTGCTGGTCGGTATGGACTACCGGGTCCGGCTGTATCATGACCTGGTTTCGGCAGACGCATATGCTGCACGCGCGGTGGGCGCCGTTCCGAAGCGCGCGTATGTTATACATGGCGGTGCCTCGCGAGTCGTATACTATGTGTGCGCGGAAGTGTTATACTCTGTATGCGCGGAAGTCGTGTTCTCTGAACATGCAGCAGGCTCTATCCGGGCAGGCGCTGTCTTGGTTCACGTTGTTAACGTGATTCACGTGGTTAACGTAGGATCTCGCAAGTTTAAGTAAGAGTATGTGTGAGATACTGCGTATGGAGATGTATGCTTAAATGTGAAAGCGAAGTGCTTTATTATAGTCCACTGTATGAGAGCGTATGTCTGTTTTAGGGCCCTCGTATGCGTGATGGATGAGAGGATAGGCAAATGTGTACCCTGCCTGCTAATTAACAAGTTGTTTTTCACGTAGATCACGATGATTGCAACGCAATAAAAGCACAAAAAAAGGCTTAGGCGATCGCGTTCTTTGAGCTTAAAGAAATTTAAGAGTCAGGACAGGCCGAAGCAAATAAAGATATTTTCAAAAAAAACTATGAACTTTTAGGTGGTAAGGTATAAGGAAATACATCATAAAGTCGATGTTAGGTAGTACCGAAAAAGTGTATATGGCAAAATTTTTGATTGCATTTTACTGAGTGCGCAAGTCGGTACAAAATATTGGTAAAGCACATAAAAAGTTAAACAAAACCGAGATAAGCATAGTTTAAATAAGCTTGTTACGTTTAAGTAAAACGAAATATCTTATTAAAACGCAACTGGAATGAACTTGGTACCTTTAAGTGAGACTAAATGTCCTTTAAACGAAAGTGATTCCAGGAGAAAGACGAACCTGGTCTCTTAAGTGTGACAAGTTCCTTTAAGTGCAGGTGGTCTTAAAAGTGCCGTCGAGTTTTGTAGAACTAAAAATGTGTAACCTGATTGTAACATTTGACTATAAACTTGCGTCATGATCAGTTTATAAAAAAAAAGATAATTGATATATATAAAAATAGTTTCTAATCAATTTATGTCTTCGCAGTATTTTAAATGGACTCGTGAGGTTCCTGAGGCAGGAACCATGCAGGGTGGCAGTGTTGGCAACCAACATCGGCCGCCCCTCTTCGTGCACAACGGAAGAGAAGTGGAAAGGGAAATGTGAAGTGGAAAGGGAAATGTATAAATTAGGGTGCATCATGATTCTTGGACATTCCGTTTGATAACACGCGTCGAATTAGTCAAAGTGTAATTAAGTGTCGTGATTACAAAATCTGTAATATTGAGTGCTTTGTACAAATATTAATTGAATACATATATTGTGTTATAAGTGCATATTTCTTTATAATAAATTATTTCATTGTGTTAACAACGCGTTGAGTAAAATTCGGTATTTGGAGAAAAAGTTGGCGTATTCTCTTCCCATCAAAAAATAAAAATAGAAATTACGACCTTTGCATATGTACAGGCGATTTATGGTAAAGTGTCGGTATTCGAAAAACAACGCTTTTGACGGCCACACGCCATACATAAATTGCGGGAGTGTGCTAGCGCGTGCGTGTGTGTCTGTATGTCCTAATTATGCTTAAGCGTTTCTCTGAATTTATTACAGTATACTATCCCACTTAAAAAAAACACAATGAGGTGCTATTACATATATAAAGGTACTTGCTCTGGGTATATTATGCATCTTAATAACGGGGTTTTAGGGTAAGGAAATCCCCTGCACTGCCTCAATGTGTGTTGGCGGACTTCACGTGTCTTCGAAATATTTTTTTTCTTATTTCTCAAACATGCAGGTTTCTGCACGATGGTTTCCTTGACCGCCGAGCACGTGGTAAATCAGCACTGAGAATTGCCATTAACAATTTCATTGGTGCCGGCGGGGATCTCGCATCTCGAGTTGCTCGCGTACAATGCAATTTCAAGGTCATAAGGTCCCTAAGTCGTATCGATTCGGAAAAATTGCTAGTGGTATTCGATTCCACAAGGAAGTTGTGCAAGAAAACTTCTTCTAAATCACTCAGTAGTGGACCGCCAATCATCTAGATGGTACGGATGGTATTTCGACTTCAATGCGATGGTGAAATTGAGCGGCTGGAATTAGTCTGAACAATTCCTTTGAGCACTCCCCGTGGTAGATACGGTAGAATTTGCAATGAGATGCAACATCTCTTCGCAGCGCCAGTGAGTCAAGCCGATCAGAAAGAGCTTGGTCGCCGACGATTCGAATCGCTCTGCGTTGGATGCGATCAAATAGAAGGAGCTGGCACTGGGGAGCCTCTGCCCAGAGATGGGAACAGTATTCCATGTGCGGCCAAACCTGCACCTTGTAAAGTTGCAGGCGGTGTGCCGGCATGAAATACTGTCCCGCTCTGCTGAACACGCCAAGCAGAAGAAACAGCGTTAGTGATAGTACGCAGCCTAGTGAAACACCAGCGTTAATAGGCTTGTAATTGGAGCATGCAACATATACTACGACTTTGATGCTCCGATCAGCCAGAAAACTGGTGATTCAATTGCATAATTTCTCGGGAAACACATAGGAAGGAACCTTCGAAAGTAGCGCTTTGTGCCAAATCTCATCGAAGGCCTTCGCTATGTGTAAACTAGCAGCCAAAGCCTCCTCCTTGGACTCGTTTGCCTGCGCCCATCTGTGTGTTAGGTAAACAAGAAGATCACCAGCTGAGCGACCCCAACGGAAACCGTACTGGTGGTCACTAATTAGCTAGTGCTTCTCAACGTACTGCAAGAGCTGGCATTTAATAATAGACTCCATTATTTTCGAGAACAGGGAGGTGTTGGTGATAGGCCTGCAGTTGGACGTATCAGAGCGGTTACTTTTTTAGGGATTGGATGCATGAAAGCTGTCTTCCATGAGTTTGGGACAACGCCTAGGGAGTAGGAGTACCGGATTAAATGCGTTAGAACCGGTGCCAACTCTGGAGCGCAAGTCCTCAGCACAATTGGCGGGATTCCGTCTGGCACACTCGACTTTTGGATGTCCAGGGAGAGGAGTGCTTTGCGTACTGAGCACTGTGTGAATCACATATCAGGAATAGAGCACCCACACTGCGGGATAGTCGGCGGTGTATTACCTCCGTCATTGAGAGTTTTCTCTTTTGCGGCGTGGGCCAGTGAGTCGTCATTTCTGTGCAGAGATGGTAGTGATGACAGAAATTCCCTTGGACACCTTTGGTGAGAAACCAGAATGCACTGGTTACTGAAGGAAGACGAACTAATTTCTCGCACATTCAGCCAATGTGCTCATACTTTGTCCTGGCAATAACTCTTTTGAAGGACTTGGAGGCGAAGTTATACTTCTTTTAAGCATGCTAGTGCTTACATTCCGAGCCGCCGAAGCGTCAGCCTAGGCCTAATAACACTCCTGCTTACTGAGTAATGC